ACATTGTATATCAAGCAGCTTTGCAATAAAAATTGTTTTTCATTGGACAGTTTCTCTTAAATAAAAGTAGTTTTATAAAGAAAATTGAAAAGAAAAAAGATATTTATGAAAATCTCAAAATATCAAGCAAGTTTCGAGACAAGCAAAACAAGTCTCTGAAAGTCGCGCACGGAAAAACTTGCTGTTTTAAACAATAATTAACCATATTCACAGTCATATTTCTCAAAGACTAAAAGGGGTCCTTTTCTAAAAAATAGACCAGCATAGTGTACAACTCGTGCACTTTAAACTATTATAAAAGATGAAAATGGGTCTATTCTAATTAGTGTAATGTTAGTTTCCGAAGTTGGTGCAATACGAAATAAGTTTAAAGTGAGCACTCGCCTCCTTGAATATAAAAAAGATGAACATTTGATGAAAATATAAAATTTGTTACTTTCTGATTTTATTCTTTAAACAGAAAAATGTCTGTTAAAAAAACGAACACATTGGAAGTGTATATATGCCGATGTATGTATCAACAATACAATGAAAGAAACCGAATTATACAAAATAAAATAAAATAAATTAGAATTTAAATTCTATAATAGAGGAATAATTGGGGAATAGAGGAATAGCGACCGACCGGAATACATTTGGAAACGTTCCCTTACGATTCAGGAGCTGTACGTATTTTCCCGAGAACCCCGATTTCAACCAGTTGACCTTGGGGGATCCTGAAATGGATCAAGATAGAGGTATCGGCCACGCTGAGTCGAGTGGTGAGGTTTATTTTTGGTTGCAAACCGACCTAAAGTCATTATATCAAGATTTTCGTGATATCCGCTCTATACGCAACATAGCGGTAGAATGGCTTAATTTGAAAATCTTGATATAGTGACTTTAGGTCGGTTTGAAACCAAAAATAAACATCACCACTCCACTCAGCGTGGCCGATTCCTCCATCATGATCCATTTCAGGATCCCCCAAGGTCAACTGGTTGAAATCGGGATTCTCGAGAAAATACGTACAGCTCCTGAATCGTAAGAGATAGAGAGTTAAGGCTGGTGTAAAATTGTAGATCTCGGCTCGGGTTATCGGTTGCACTGTTTGAAAATCAAAATCCATCGTACAGTCCTAATCGTTCAAGGGAGGTGTGTCGAAAGAAAGAAGCCGGAGATAAAACATGCATTTTTCCAAGAAAGATACCACGCTTGGGAGAAGTTTTTTAAAAATAAAATAAGAGGATGAAAAGACCGTTTCTCTCAAAATACACGGCAGAGTGGCATGGAGAAAAACTTACTGGAGAGTGTGCACTCCCGCACACACAGTTGCCATGCACCGGGTTGTTACCTGTGAAAGAGAGAAATTGGCGACTACTGCAACACCAGCCCTACGGAAGGTAGCCAATAGCTGTTGCTATACTTTTCGCCAATTATGTCAAATATAATTTTATCCAAATATGTTTCATCAAATGAAATCGATTAATATTTATTCAGTTATTAGTGATCAGGTAGGTGAGAAACAGTTCTGTTTGACATTTGTCTAAAAATCAAACGTGCATTTGGACTTTTCATTTCCTTATGGTACGTAGTTTTTCTTTCAATAAATGATTATCATAATTTCAAAAGGTATCCATTCGTTGTTTTTCTCGATTTCAAACTATGTTATTTTGGTTAAGACTTAATCGAGCGTCGAAACAGTTCGTTACCATTCATAAAGTTTATAAAACATTCGGTATTTTTTTTTCCGCCCAATACCCCAACCAACACAAATTCATAGATTCATAGGATAGCTTAAGCAGAATTATTTTAGCCTCATCCACTCTGCGGTACCACGATATCGGCTTACTTTGGATTTATGCTTTCCTTAGGTTTTTCCTCTGTTTTAGTAACGAAGCAAATTGAGGATTTTAAGCCTACACTCAATTCCTTGGCTATGGGGTGGAAAAAAAATACCAAGTTGCATTAAACATGAGATTTCTTTTCTGTTTAGACGCTATTGATGATATTATTGGAGATATTTATGAAAAACAAGACTTAGCATTTGCAAATTTATCAACACACACACACATATATTAATATTGTAGTAGTACCTATGTTAATCGTACATTAGTTACTAATAAAAACGTTAGATTTTTATCAAGTCAGTTGTATTATCAGATGACTTTGTTCACATACTAAGAAGAATCATTATACGGTCTATAGAATCTCTACCACTAATCATCAAGACGGATGTTGTCAAGCAAAGGGTATGAAAGGTATATGAAGAAAAAAGTACTGACACTACATTATGTAAAAGCAAACAATCATTGTCACAACAAATGCCGATACCACTGTATGCTCTAAAACTTCTTCGTATTGGCAATAGTCTCTTGAAATAAAATATTTATTTGTAAGAAGATGATAATCGTTATTTTGAAACAAAATCAAGAATATTATTTCACAACCAAAAGGATTAGATACGAAAGTTCTTCTAGTAATGTTAATTCTTCGTGGTGTTATTCGAGTTGTCATTGATGGGTTTATTTATAAGACCTATTCTGTTCATCAGTCGAAAAAATAGTTTATTCGTTCCTCTTACATTCTGTTAGATTATTTCAGATGGGTAATTAAAAAATTTGTTACTTATAGCGTCCAAAATCAGAATTCTAAACAAACAAACTTAAAGGGTTAAAATGATATCGATTACACAAAACATCCATAGAAGAACGTGTCTATGTGATGATGACACTTTTTATGACCACATATAACCCGTCTTTCATCACAGAAACGAGAATGAAATGGAAACTGATCAATATAATTCAAAAATAAACATTTTCGAAAACCCTTTAAAGCTATGAGAGCTAGGACGAGATATAAGACGCGGGTCCTCTGTTGTGTCCATCCGTTTAATGTAAACGCGCTTTGCATCCGGGATAGGTGAGTTTGTGAGCATCTTCGCAATTTGAACAATTCAGAGTTGTATTTGTACATTTATCCAGTCCATGGCTACCACTGCATCTTCCACGTTTTATTTGATTATTACATTCGTTTGCGTAATATCCGAGTTGTAGACGTTTAAAACATCGGATTATTTTTACTGGTGGAATATACTCAATAACAGAATAAGCGAACGGTGTAACAATGAATTTTTGCTTCTTTAATAAATCATTACCAGCAGTTGCATTTGATAAATCGATTCGAATAAGGGATGTTGGATTAGCTTGCGCAGCATTCTTAATTCGTGATACTGCGACGACATCAGTTACAATATCTCGAATATCCGCTAAAAGATCGTTTTCATTTATAAATGAATCAACATTTTTTAATACACAGCTAAACGCTTTATTGATAACTTTCTCTGCATGTGATGAAATGAAACTATCACCAAATAAATTTTATGAAAGGTTAATCAAAAGATGTTGTACTGTAGTTTTTCTAGTCTAGATGCAAAAGGTCTAGTGGTTTTAACAGTTTACCATAGACAGGAGAACCAACGGGCAATCTCCTGGTAGTTTCACTATTTTAAGAAACATCTTGATCACAGAATTATGAGGAAAACATTGATCGAACAAATAATTTTTGTCGCCACTGGAAACTGGTGTTATTACGCTTCGTACGTAAGAAGCTCCTTATAACGTTTAATCAGATATAGCATATTTGTCTTATTCACGATACTTTTATCCTACAATAGTCATAAATCAGTGATAATATAGTTTGTCTGTCCCAAATGAGAACAAAAAGAACTGAGTTATCTGAATGGTCGATTCTTCGTATTGAAACATAATAATGAAATGAAAAGAAAGAAAATGAGAAAATTCATCCTTCTATCGCTTCGTATACCTGACATTAAACATATTCCTCGAATTTGCTTGTGCATTTGAAGTTATCATTTATTGTTTGTTGCTGAGGTGGGCGAGCACTACCACCATTAACTTATACTAGTCTTTTTCAAGAGCCATGGTTGAAAAGTTAAACTTAAATGATGTCGAAAACATGAGTACTACTTCGAGTTAACTTTCAAGCCAATCAGCTTTCCTAACACGAGGTAATTTTTCTATTTGGGACAAGGTCTTGGACCACGTTCACACTACAAATTTTTCAGAGTTAACTCAAAGTTAACTTCGAGATCGTTCACACCTAAATCGTTAACACACCAATCAGATTTTGAAATTTCCCCTAAAATTGTGCTGCTTTCTGCCTTCAGGATTCTCCGAGGTTGCGGCTTGCTAACAGCCGGCTGGTTTGAATTCACGTTGTATAGTTGACTTCCTGCTCAAAACAGACAAATTGAGTAGAGAGTCAGATGTTTGAACTGCCGCTAGTTTCCTTGTCTAATGACACCGTATTATTGGTTAATGAGCTGATTTATGATTGGAGAGTTAAAGTTAAATGATGTCCGAAACACCATTTAACTCCGTATTGGATGAGAAGTTAATTTGATTGGTTGATAAAAACTGAAGTCGTCGCGAAAAACATGACTTACACTGGGATTAAGGGTGCTGATTGGTTGTAAAGTTAATTGAAATCAGTAGTGTGAACAAAACCTAAGATTGGAAAAGAAAGGTGTCGTACTCCGAACATAGTGACTGACGACCTCTCTCCGGCTGCAGCCTCTCATATTTGCAGTATTTCATTGGTTAAACTCGAGTTAAAAGAGCAGCTAAAATTATTTTAGCTTTTTTATTTTTCATTACATATTTATCAAAAAGAACTGACTTTTCAGGAATACCTGATGTTTAACGAGCATCTCTCTTTGTGCTTACGTATTTGAAAATAAAAATAAAAGAAAAACTTACGTTATAGGTTCTATTTTAGATCGCTTTCTATAATTGTTTTTCTTGACGTCGTTTTACATGTGAATAGTCTGACTTCGAAAAGACAATATAATACTTCTTCGTAATATTTAAACCAAAATTCTTTTGCTGTTCAAGTGAAAAACATAATTAATTTACATATCGAATATGTATCAACAACAATCGACAACGATTCCTGATTATGATTCAAGACCCTATTCGTCTTCGCCTACAGTTTTAGGAGGCGCAAAACAACTATCTACAAACAATACTAGAAACAGTCCAGTTAATATCCATTCGTCTACACCGACCAGAAACTCCGGAACTTCAACGCCACTTTCGTCAATGACAATACCTAAAGACGATCAGAACTGGAAATCAAAGTTAAATTTACCGGAAAAAGATCGTCGAGCTAGAACAAGTGATGTCACTGGGACTAGTGGTCATGATTTTGAAGACTATTGCTTGAAACGTGAACTATTAATGGGTATATATGAAAAAGGCTGGGAAAAACCATCACCCATACAGGAACATTCAATTCCGATATCGTTAACTGGTCGAGACGTGATTGCACGTGCTAAAAATGGAACAGGTTAGCGCCAAAGACTATAAAGGATTATAATCTTTTCTTTTTATCAAAACTTGGTATTTAGGTAAAACGGGTGCATACACAATTCCCATTATCGAACGAATTGATCCAAAAAAGAATATAATTCAAGCATTGATATTGGTACCGACGCGTGAACTAGCCTTACAAACAAGTGCTATATGCATGGAATTATCAAAACATTTGAATTTGCGTGTAATGGTAACAACAGGTGGTACAAGTCTGCGTGAAGACATCACGCGTCTCCAAGACATTGTACATATAATTATTGCTACACCGGGTCGTATTCTTGATTTGGTGAACAAAAGTTTGGCTAAGTTAGACTCGTGTCGTGTTATTATATTAGATGAAGCTGATAAATTGTTATCGCAAGATTTCAATCATTTGTTGGATGATGTCATTCATCATTTACCCAAAGATCGTCAAATCATGTTGTATTCAGCAACATTTCCATTAACGGTCGATGACTTCATCAAAAAACATATGAAAAATCCGTATGAAATAAATCTCATGGAAGAATTGACATTAAAAGGTATAATTGCCAGCTTGAATTATATTATTTATTGTAATTTTCGGTGCCTTCATTGTACTCATCCATCATCTCCAGCTTTCTTGTAGGAAGGAACATGTGGAGATTTTAAACCTTAGACTGAGCTCCATCTAGATGTTCAAAGAAGAGAACACTACGTTCTACATGAGTAGAATTGCCTGACGAATTATAAATTCTTAGCAATATATGTTTTTTCTGTAAATGCTTAGGTATAACTCAATATTATGCGTTTGTGCAAGAACGTCAAAAGGTTCATTGTTTAAACACCTTATTTTCAAAATTACAAATCAATCAGTCAATCATATTCTGCAATTCAACTCAACGTGTCGAGCTATTGGCTAAGAAAATAACTGTATGTTGCTTGTTTATTGTAGATCTTAGTGTTAGATCTTTCTACCATTTATGACACATATCAGTCTTGTCATAATTCTCATGTTTGATTATTTAAGGAACTGGGTTATTCATGTTATTATATTCATTCAAAAATGCGTCAGGAACATCGTAATCGTGTTTTTCATGACTTTCGAAATGGTTTATGTCGAAATTTGGTGTGTTCTGATTTGTTTACACGTGGTATCGATATTCAAGCTGTTAATGTTGTGATTAATTTTGATTTTCCGAAATTATCTGAAACTTATCTTCATCGTATTGGTCGATCTGGTCGTTTTGGTCATTATGGTATTGCTATCAGTCTTATCACATATGATGATCGTTTTACACTGCACAAGATCGAACAGGAATTGGGTACAGAAATTCAACCGATACCAAAACAAATTGACCCATCGTTATATGTTGCTGAATATCAAGTTGGTGAAACAGATGCTGGAAATGAAAATACAAATGAGTTGAATAATGAAAAACCTGCTCAATAACGACAACAACAATAGCAATAGGAAAACATTAAAGTTTTGTTAACACTATACACACACACACCAATCTGTTTGTACAGTCTGTCTTTCTTTTTTGGTGTGGTGCTCTCATGCACTGCTATCTTTTTAAATTTCCTTACGGCATTAATAGGGACCATAAAAAAAAATTCTCAAAAAGTTTTCTTTGCTTTTCTTTGTGTTTAATGCCCTAATGTATAATGACAGTAGCAATTTAGTTGTTTGAAGTTTACGTGTTTTAGCAGTAAATATGTGCGCATGTTCTAAGGTGTTTTTTCAATATATCTGAGATTAAATGTGATTGTAATTTTTGTGTGTTTCTACTTTTTTGATTCCCCTCAAAAAAACTTTTCTTTCTCTCTTTTTTCTTTTCTGATCTCAATCGTGACGTTTCCTTTACTGACCTTTCGTCGGATAAATGTTCTGTGTTTTTGTCTGTCTTATCACTGAGGATAAAACTTGAATCTTCAATTATTTGTTTATGTTTTATAAGATATATGTGTGTGTGTGTGTGTGTGTGTGTATGTTTGCATGTTTGTCTATTTATGTTGCCATTAAGAAAACAGGAGAAGTTGCACAACAGTAAGAACGTAGTTGTTACGTTTGCTTTTATATCTTGTTTGGTTGTGGTTTTATCTTATCTACAGCATCCAGTGAACAATTTTGTGATTATTGTAAGGAATATCATGTTTTTGCCAGAATTATCTGGTTGCTTGTATGGATCAAATGTGGAAAAAAAGTAATAATAGAAATGATAGAAAAGATAATGATTAAAAAATGCGTTAAAACACTGTCATATAAGAAAATAAATAAATAAATAAATAAATAATGAAACAACGATACTATTTGTCTCTTGTTCTATGTTTCGAAGTGAAGCAAAATGGTAGATACATTCATTTCTCTTGATTAGAAGAGAAATATTCGTTTTTCGAGAGAACCTGTTTTTGAAAAGAAAGACACTATCGAATAGAATGTATCTGAGACCTTCAACTGTTTTATATCTTGTTGCTAGGGATGCTACGAGCCTATTTTATATCTGCTATCTGATCGATTTAAAAAAACATAATTTAAACTTTTTCTGATTTAGTTATAGAAACTAAGAGTGTGAATGTTGATATAGCTGATAAATAGAATGGTAACATAAAATTAATGTTTGAAGTAGGTAATTATACCGTTTAATTCAATCATTATTATGAACACATCATTTTTATTTTAAGTGAAAACGTTTTATGTTTTTATAGTCCAATATTATATTCGACAAAAGTATGTTTTTTACAAGTTTAGATAGTAAATCTTTTGCTTGTTTTTATTTGAAGTGTTGGCAAACAAAACTAGTTCAAAAGATGGATATCGAATATTTTGTGTATTACAGTGAATGGAGTGACCGGTAGGATGAATGGGTGAAAAATGGTAGAATTGTCAATTTTTCACCCGAAGATATTTCAACTACAACAAGAATTAATACTTGCACGTGAGTAAGATAAATTGTTGCTATTTGTTATTTATTTTTAAGCGTTTCTGGATGTTCTGGACGTTTCTGATTTTGAACGTAGAATTTCAATATGATCTTTCAAAAACTAGGTTATGGACTCGACAATTTCAGATAGAAATACTTTAGGCTTTTGACGTGGATGGATAGTCGCAAGTATTGTATTTAAAATTAGAATGCTTCATTCTCTTTATTTTATTGTCGCTCAATCGTGATACTAGATTTTCTAAATGCTTCAGCCTCGGACTGGTATGAGACCTCATGAACAGCTGGAATGCAGGTTATTGATCCCGCTGATTTTTTGACAAGATTTATTTTCATCAGACATTTATAAAATCTAGTGAAGGTCTACTGTAATTAAGATGACCCATTTTACACTATTTTTATTGAATTTGAAAATGAATGTGAAAATTTCGCAACTTACTCAGAATGAGTTCACACACTTTAGAATTTCAAAAAATACTCTAGTTTATCTCTTTCTACATGTTGATAAAGCTAGAAGGGCGATGCAGTTGCGACAAAAACGAGAAGTTCAAGGGAGTCTTATTTTAAAGAGAATACTTGAGACTGTCTACCTAGGACAATGAAGATAACCATCTTATACGTCTACTTACCATCGGCTTACGGTCGTAATAAGGTCATAAACGTCTGTATTTGAGAGTAAATCATCGTATACCTGCAGCCGTAATACATCGTCACATATGACAATCGTAAAGAAAACGTTTACGACTATTCACAATTGTATACGACTTTTCGCGACGGTTGTATACGATAATGTATCACCTCTGTATGGAATACGACCGTATTTAGTCGTAAATTGTCGTTTACGATTCTATGAATTCGTCTTGGATACATATGTAAAAAAACGAAAGTATTTCTATCTGAGCCATGATTTGGTTTTTATTGAAATTCTACGTCACAATAGATTTTTGAACTTAATCTGTTATGAAAACACGCGCTAGAATCTGGGCTGTCGAATAATAACAACTGCAGGTCTCTAGTTATCGACAGTCAAAAACTATTCAGAAAATAATCATCTGAATTTTGGATAAACCATGATTATAATAAAACTTTTTCATTTTTTTTTATTTTGTTTTGTTTTTCCAGTCTATAGTATATGAAAATATAGCTGAAATTAAGATGAAATTATCTGAACAAAATCATATTTGAATGAAGACGGAAAATAAATAAATATGAATGAAAGAGTATGGACAATTAAATCTGAAATTTTTTTGATTTAATAATTTGTGTTGTTGCCGTGCGATATAAAATATGGACAAATAAAAACGAAAAGTCAAAAACTGAGTAAATTGTACGTAAGTAGTACCTGTAAAATTTGAAGTTTAAGTAAGCATAATATGTTTCAATTTTTGATTCCAGTCTATTTACAAATCGATTTATCAATGTGCGCGTAGCAGATTATTTCCTTTCAACATTAGACACACAATTATTATATATAAAAAGAACATGATCAATATGATTAGGTATTGAAACAACGTTACATCATTATCGGTTGAAACTGTAACAAAATAAACTAGCAATATTTTTTAGCAACAAGGAGAAAAAATATTAACAGTGACATTTTCAGAGAATTCTAATTCTCCCATGGATGTTTCTGTTTTGCACAGAACGATATAATGAGAGACTTAGAAGTGGTAGACAAATACCTTTTAGATTATGGCGTATACTAAATCAGTGGATAGATGGAATACTAACGAGGGAACCTATGGCAGTGTCCTCCTCCGATTTCGTTCGTTCATACGTCGATCGATAGAGGATATCGAGTTAGTAAAAAGCCTAAAAATATTCAGGCCCATAATTCTTGAAGACCCGGTTTTCTGGAAAATTAGTTTTTCAGAAACTCTAAAAAATAACTAAAACCTTTCTTAATGATTGTAGCCCGCAAATTTCTGATTAAAATGAGGCATCTCCTAGCTCTACACAGAAATGAGAAATTAATCCAGGGCTTTTCTTCTAAATTTCTATAACTTTGCAAAGAAAGGTCGTATAGAGCGGGGAAATGTCTTATTTTAATCAGAAATCTGCAGGCTACAACTATGTCTCATTAAGAAAGGTTTTAGTTATCTTTTAGAGTTTCTGAAAAACTGGTTTCCCAGAAAACCCGGTCTTCAAGAGTCATGGAGAAAAATCCTTTTAGGTTTTTTAATAGCTCGATATCCTCTATTGATCGACGTATGAACGAACGAAATCGGAGGGAGACACTTCCATAGGTTCCTTCATAAGTGTGCCTATTGACTTAATTTCAATTTAATTTCTTTGTTTTTTGTTCAGATTTGTCATGACATTTCCCATTGACGTCGTTTAATGACTACGTTTAAAACGATACTCTAATTGTTACTCGTTCTACTTTACATTTTAATGTATTTTATGGCAACCTAGTGTTTCTATTTGCCTAGTAAGTATCACTATTAGTTAAATGTAGTCTTGTTGTTTTTTATGATAGTTCTTCTGATTTTATTTTTCTAATAGAACAAAATGAACTAAACTATATTGTTAGTTTCGTCAATGATTTTTTGTGGTAAGAAAGATAAAGTAACGTTCGATGTGAATGCCATGTCTATATTGACTTTAGATTTTTGAATAAAAATATAAAATATGGTTTAATGATGATAATTATATCTCAAAGTTGGTATCATGAAAATCTTCAATTTATTTGGTATGACATTTGTTTTTTTATTATTTTAGACAACTGTCTTTTTTTATTGTTCGAATCTATCGTTGAATTAATTTAGAAACTGAATCTGAAGTTAGGTTTTTATAAAACAAAAATCTAGAAGTTTTTTTCTCTAAACTGATATTTTTTTAGACTAGAAGTCTCTTGTATTTAGTTGATTTGTTTGTGCATATTACTTCTGTTGTTGTTTTTTCAACATGATTTTTGCTTTTATTTTGTCTAGATATGTTTAGTCAAGACGTATCAAAACTTTATAACGATGACTCAACTGTAATCCAGTGAGTTCATGGACTAATTGAAGAAAAAAAATTTTCTACTTAATATTCAAGAAGTATTCAACAAAAATATCTGCTTGCTAGTTCATACGGAGTTTTGGTGTGTATCATTGTTGAATAAAAACTATTTTGTTTTATTTATCGACTCTCTGCTTCAAAATTGAATATTCATTTTTGATGGAATGTTTGCATCACATGTCTTTTCTACTTTTCTTTTTATTTAAAAAAAAAACAGTTTATTTAATAATTAAAACCACATGAAATAAAATAAGGTCACATAACTTTATACAATAAAATAGCTGAGACAATGAGAATTTAGGTCGACAATTTTTGAAAAGACTATTACAAAGTATTATAAATTTGTTAATGAAATGACTAGACGTTCAAAGTTATACTGTACAATTAAAGAAAAAAAATATCTGTTTCTAGAACAATTTGAGGTTGTATAAAAAGACTGGACGGAATTTTTGAGCAACATTCAATGATGATGATGATAATGATGATCATTTTTGTCCAGTTTTAGTTAATGAAAAGGGAATAACAAGGATCCGCCTAGTCTATATAAAAAGTTTGAATCAAAGAAAAACAAATAACAAGAAAATAACATCAATAAATTTTATATATATTAATATGCTTGCATTTGCATTTGCATTATTTCATATTCTTTATCCTCTGCTCTTGATGATTGTAATTTACAACAAACACGATATGAACATAATAATGATAAAAATGTACTTAAAATTGCTCCACATGCTAACCAAAATGATAATCCAAAAAATTCAATATTACGAATTGTTGTATTATTTTCATGTATCATAACATCAAATGGTAAATTTTTTTCAATATCAACAACTGTTTGTTTTTCCCATAACCATAAATAAACATAAATACCCAATGAACCAATAATTGAAAGAAATGCTAAAAATGTCCATATACCATAAAGAATAAATGGTACATTATGACAATTTTTTCGACAACAAGCTAATAAAAATAATGATAATATACTTAATAATGTAAATAATAATCCTCCAATAATACCAAAGAAAATACCCATACGAAGATAATATGTTAATGTTAAATATTCAACACGTTTTTGTTGATATTCATTATTATTATTATTATTATTATAATCAATATTATTATCGATTGTTGGTGATCCTCCAAAATATGTAAAACGTTTTTCAATACATTTTCGATCATCCCGAATTGTATAAACTTTTAAATAATTTTTTGTTGTATATTCAACACAATTTTTTTCATCACTAAAATCTGAACATTGTACTGTACCATCACAACGATATTTCGATCTATAACATCGATTATCACATGAGATTGTATCACCACGACACTCATGTGAAGGACAATTTTCTTCATCAGAATTATCAGCACAATCTGAAATACCATCACAACTAAAAAGAGACATCAAAATTTAGTACAAAAAGTGTAGTTTTCTAACCTTTTTTATTATCTCAAGTTTTTCATCTCTTTAAATTTGAGAAAAAAATGAGAAATTTTATTCTAAGATATAAATACCTGTGTGAATGTTCTCTTCTTGCACATTTTCTTTCTTTTATACAAAATGCACGTTTGTTGTCTTCACATCTTTGTGGTGAACAATTTTGTTCATCGGAATCGTCCAAACAATTTGAAACACCGTCACATGTTTGATCGTTAACTCGATAACACATTTTTTGATCGGGACCTAAAAAATTATTTAAAAAAAGAAAAAATTTGATAAAAAACCTATTGTTCGTGACATAAATAAAAATTTACATTTTTCATAACCATCTTGACATCGTAGTGGCAATCTTTCATTACACACCGTGGATGTTTCATCACTTTTATCTACACAATCAATAATACCATTACATTGTTGTTGATTTTGAATACAACGTGTTAGTGGATTCGAAATAGCATAACCTGTTGCACACATAAACTGATCAATTGAACAATTTCTATCAGCTATTGCTAATTCTTCTTTCGATGGTTCTGGTAAAAAATTATACGAATCATTAATTGTAAGATTTACAAGACGATAGGAAATACATTCTGAAAATAGACCACGTGATTGTGGAATACGTAATAATGTTTGATATAAACGTAAATTAGAATTTTTTATATTTATATTTTTTGGAATGTTCTAGAAAATAAAAATAAAACAATTAATCAATTAGAAGAGATACATAATTAATACACGAAGAAAAACAAAAAAAAAAGAGTTTAATTTACTTGTTCAAGTACAATTGTCCACCAATTTGTTGCAAATGCAACAGCTAATAAACCTAATGTAATAAATGCAGGAATGAATAAGATTGCTAATCGTAGACAATTAGTCATGGTTAAAGAATAAATATTAGTATGAGCAAATCGATATCAATTTTAATCTGAAATTAAAATAAAACTAAACGAATACTTGCATACTTAAAATCAATTTGTGGTGATATATTCGAGCAAAAAAAAAGAAGAAAGTCGACATTTGGCATTACAACGATCATATAGTTATTCAATTTCGAAACAACAAAACGATTTCCCTTTTTGTTTTCTATCTTACGCATACTAAAACTTTTCTCAAAAGAAAAAAGAGAGAGAAAAAAAAAACCTTATTATTTAAATAAAAATAACTTATCCACAAGAGGACGATGATACAACAATCAATTTATTAAAAGGAAGAAGAAATGGTCATTACTAACCAAATGTCAATTGTGTACACGCACGGAGGAAGAACAATAAAAAAAAAATAAATAAAAATAACTCGAACGTCATTGCTATTTGACAATTAAAAAGTGTAAAATCTCGCATCCATGTCACTCTGCATATTTCTTTTTTTTATTTTTACTGTTAGTATATTGTTTTGTTATACTATACGCTGTAAATTCTATCAAGAATAATAAAAAAAAAAAAAAAAAAAATGTAGCACACGGTATTTTTCTTCCATGACTCTCTCATAGTGGTTGAGCAAGATTAAAATATTAAAAGATACGTATCAATTCCTATGATGAAATAAGAATTCTCTATGGAACTTTCATTATTATCTATGTTAACAAACTTGTCGAGTTCATCATATTACATGACGAAATAATTCAATGAATAACAAAAAAAAAAAATAATAAAATAAATTTTCTATTTTGTTGTTGTCTGTATATAATAGTCAGTTTGCACTACGTTCTAAGGAGAAAAAAAAAAGAAATTGTACACTATTGAGCCAGAAAAATACAAGAAAGAATGAGAGAAAGAAGTGAATACATATTTTATATGTAGTCATCAGATACTTGGTCTAGGCTGTAAATAAAGTTTTTTTTCTCTTCTTTTTTTCGAAACAGAAGTAATAGCATCTTGAGGTCTCTTTCTTTTCTTTTGTTCAATTGTTATGAAAAAGAGAAGAAAGATTGTGTAAATAAGGTGGACACTGATGTATTTAGCACGATTTTGTTTCCTATTTTCAAAAAACCAAATATCTATCTCAATAATGAGTTGACACCGTTCTTCTTCGTTTCACCAACTAAATACATAAAATTTCTGAACACTATTATGTATTAAAGCTACTCTCATATTTTTTTTAATGTATTCGTGCGTCTTCTTCTCTTTTAAATAGTGTGTACATAAAATTTGAGACTTATGTTGACAAACGAAACATTATTCACTTAAGTTCCCACCTCCCCCGCTTTCCAATCAGAAATGTTGATTTTATTATGAAAAGTTAATATTATGATTAGGACATAGTTAGACGTCTCAGAACATCTACTATCACAATTTATATTGCTTTTGAGAATATCGAAAGTTTCACAGATTATTTAAAAAATTTTCTCAAACAACTTTTTCAAAGTCTGTTCTAGTGCCATAAAATGACTGACAAAATGAATGAATTTACAGAGAAAACCAGGTTTCCAAATTTGATTGGAAATTTTACAAACAACTCAATCGTATAAAACTAACATTTGTAGACAAAAAATGAGAAGTCTTTACGACATTTGTTTTTAATAAACTGCATTCAATTCACAGAAAACCCTCGAAAGATCGTTTTATTGTCTTTTTGTCGATGTTGCTAGTTTTCAGGGTGTGGAATACAGTTTGATTATAAAAATGTCGTGAAGAGCTCACTAACGTCATCGGAATAATTCAAAGATGTTTGCTCTAGACGATCAAATTGTTCGTAAAAACTTTTCGATCAAAAAGGACTCGGTTTTACGTGGGGTTTGGATTTTGACCCAGCTCCCCATTTTAACAATTTCGATGAAATTTTTATGCACCTTTCATCAAACTGAAAACGCATTTAACTAAACAAATTACTCTGTGGATTTCTTCTCGCTATTACAGTCGAGCACAAAACTCGAAAATATAAAGCGGCTAAAAGCCACTCTATATCTCGAAAATAGTTTTCTGTCTTGCGACGAGCACCGGTGTTGAAAAGACTTTTCGTTAACTGAATGTGTAATGAAGTAACCTTTTTTTTACAAAATTAAAGAACAATGAAAATGAGTCTGACTTTTTTTAGTTAGATTTTCAGGAAACTTTTTTTGACTTTTTGATGAACTGACGAGGGAACCTCTTGAGGTGATTAAAAGCTTTTCGACTCAAACTATTTTCATCATGTAGGGAATAGTCAGTAGTGAAAAACCCCAAATTCTTATCACCAGTAGTGAAAACCTGAAAACTGGTTATCACCTTTTAGATACCTCTGTCGACTCAGGAAGACTTATTTCATTTAGATATAGGTCCCTAAGAGCCGCTGAGCTTCTGCAGGGTGAACAGAGGTATTTAAAAAGTGATAACAAGTTTTTAAGTTTTCAATGGTGAATTTTCACTAAAAACTGTCTAAATCATAAAAAATTCATACCTTGCAAAAGCTTTGGTTTATAAGCCTAATAGTGTCGCAGTGCGTAGACAACATCTATCTTCAACTGTGGTGTAAATTTCCGACTCCTAGATGATCATGGTCGTGAGCTATTAATTAATTATTATTAATGGCATTTTCATTAATTAACTCATATCTCCGTCAAAAAGGCGCATGGGCCCAAACCAACTTGGGGTTTTTAATTACTGACTATTCTCTACATGATGAAAATAGTCTGAGTCGAAAAGCTTTTAATCACCTCGAGAGGTTCCCTCGTGAGCAAAAATTTCATATAATTAGCTCTGTTACGTTATTCTCATATATTTTTAAAACAATTTAAAACCGACATGGCCTCTGCAACACTTACATAAGTATGACCTAGTTTTTATCCTTTTTAAACCTCTTAGTAATATGCTTATTATTTTTTAATTATATAATGGCAGAAAATTCTGTTAATATTCGACAGAGCTAGAAAAAAGAAATTTACGCTCTACAAAACTGTTCAGTCGAAGTAAAAGGTAACAGAATAAGAACATACTTGAATGCTTTAGTAAAGATCCATGAACAGAAAATGTTTACGAAATTGTAGCTTATAGTGGTGGAATATCTTATCTCAAAATAAGATATTCCATCACTCTAAGTGAGTCTTAATCAATAAGTTATAAAAGATTTCTCAAAAGTTTCAGTATATAACTGATAAGGTTACTGATTTACTCGTTCGTAATGTCTTATTTTGCCTCTATTTGAGTAATATCTCCTGAACAATAAGACTCTTATATATTTTATTACTAGATTTTGTGATAAAATATGTTTCGAGAAGGCTTATGTCTAATAATAACTTTTAATCATCACGATAACTTTCTAACAAGGAGCGAGAGGAGGACTTAAAGAAATCTAATTTCGTAGAAAACAAGATCTGGGAAGATCAGTCTGTCTCGCTGAAATGATTGCTTTTCCAGAGTAGGAGAAATCATTGTGTACTCTCGCTTTTGCAGTAAATTCTTGAGTATGACATTCTCTTAACATAATGTTTGAAGAGTATTTCTTTAACGACAGTATTCCACAAAAAGCAGGGCTAAATTAAAAAGATTTCAACTACAAAGACTAAAGTAAACTGCAAACAAACCAGAGAGCAACATTTATCTGAATCGAATAATACTCTAATACTCTAATAATTTACGGTAAAGTGCGCATAAACACTCTGCATACAAACATACATAACAGAAAATCATTTTTACATGATGACGAATCATGAGACATAAAAATTGATGCTTATTGAAAATTGTTTTAATTATCCTTTGTCCGATGAGTCATATCATAAATAGAATATGATATATAATGCAAAAAAAGCACTGTTTCCAAAATATTTACTAAACCATAGATCAGATAAGTTTTCGTCTGCACAAAGCGAACATCTACATAATATATCCAGGTCCACTTTCTTATCACATGTCGCGACGCGAGTCTCTTTAAAAATTCGCAGCAGGATCGCGTAACGCGTTCGCTGTAAGACTCGCGAAATAAGACGCAATTTTTAGCAATCGCTATTTTTTCGCGCTCATACAAAAATCGATGACTCTCAAGTATTTTACTATAGCTACTGTTTATTCGCGTTTTCCGTCTAATATCATTAAATGAGCCACGCTACTTTTAACGCGAACGCAGACGAATGGCGTACGCGCGCCGCAACTACGCGAGACTATATTAGTCATGTCGTAAGCTATTATTAAGATGTGATAAGATTTTGAAAATTTTTCGAAAAATCAGTGAGGGTTATATACCAAGCGCATAAACAAAACAAAACGGTGGATAGGATTTACACGGGAATCGCGCCGAGACCTTGCATCATATCGCGATTGTAAGAGAAAAGTGTGATCGCGACGTGACACCTTTTTCTTACAGCGATCGCGAATTACAAATGTTTAAAAAATAAGAGTTAGTCGCGGTCGCATCACGCCGACAGCGACTTCTTAGCGATCGCGGCACAAGTTGCGCGATTTTAGCGCGATCGCGGAACGAGGACCGCGTTCGCAACGCGAATGAAGCAAGAAAGTGGACTTGGGATAAAAAACATAAAGTCCGAAGGAACCATAGCAATCAGACAAACCGTTGATAAGGAAGTGTGAGTCTCAAAGTTATGCATATCTTGATTCCCTAGTCCACTTTCCCTGGAAAACTTCCGATAGAATCACAGCATGGATTCCCCAGGGAGTTTAGAAGAAGTCCCTGGAGATTTCTAAGAGAGTTCCCAAAAACGAATAAATGAAATTTATCCATAAATGAAAGCGTAATTTAGCTTTTTTTCCATCGGTCAAATTGAAATTTATTTTGTATAAGAAAAAGTACCACTTTCTTTCCAAAATTCTTTCTCACCTGAGCCATCATTTCTCAGTGAGCCTCGTCCAGTGGACGAGTCACCCGGCTGAAAAGTTAACTCACGTCGAAACTACGAGTTAACGCCGACGGGTCTCAGGTGGAAGCAGCTACACTTATCTAAAAAAGAAAGAAATTAATCTGAAGACACGAGATATGCCTCTTTAAATTTTCACATTTTATATACTTCTGCAGATGTAAAACAAAACGGTGAATATGTTGTACGTTCTCCCTAAGAAATCCTTAGAGAGTCACCGATGAATAACCAGGGGTTTCATTATTTCTCCCACTCCCTAAAAATCAAGGAGTCACCAGGAATTTTACAGAGAATCTTTAAGAACTCTCTAGGGATTTCACGTTTTTTTCGGGGGTTCACCGGGAACTTCATCAGAAAAAATGGACAAGAGTTGTGGAGCGTCTCTAAAAGATCGGTTTTACTAAAAGCATGATCCGTGCTCGAACTATAGCTAAAGCTGTAGTTGCAAGACAGAGTAAAAAGATAAATGTGACTTGGTAAAAAAGAAATAATACTGTAGGTAAGAAATAGACTGAGATATTCCTTGGAACCGTTACTGGAACCGCTCGCTAAATGACTTTACCGAATCGGATAAGACTATAGAAAATGAAGAGTAGCACCATCCTGAAACACAATATCTCAATTCAATTTTGTCTGCAACCTCAGTCATATCTACAATTCTACATTTTCTACGTATAAAACTGAAAAAGATCAGGATGGTATATTATATAAAAAATATTTATATCGTTTAAAACGTTCAAATAATAACGGAAGTCAAAAATCAACAATGTCACGGTATGAACAAGAATGAGAACAAAAACGTACCACGTATCCACGACAGAGAAGAGTTATGAACAATAATTTCCGATTAACTGAAACAAAGAAAAATTATTTCATTGAAAATTTCGATTTGGAAGTTTATTAAGTAATATCAAGTAATATTAAGTTACCGCTATATAATTATGTTAGATAATGATTGTAACATAAGAGATGATGATGAGTATACATCTAAAACCTGATTGTTTTATAGTATTTTTTATAAATTATAAACAGTGTACAAAGTATATGAAAAGAACAAATTTTCTATTCCAAATTGAGACCACTTTCTAAATCTAATTAATAAATATTGGAAAAAAAAAAGTGGTCTCAGTTATGCTAGAGTCGTTTGAATCCATACAAAATTGATTATTTCGTAATAGCAAACAACATTTAGTTATGTGACAATTCTACAAGGAATCAAAATCAACATATATGACTGTATGTGTTCAATTACTATTAGAAACTATCAAACATACTATTGTGGTTTGTTTGAATAAAATAATATATATATATATATATATATGCATATTTTATATATATTTCAATGATGATAATGACATTTTATTAATTATCATAGTTTCTCGCATCGAATAAAAAATACGGTTTCTTTTTAAACAACTAATAATATTTGTTTATATATGATCCAATAATCTGACAATTTGAAAAACTCAAATGTTTATCGAAAAATGAAAGTGGTATGAATGTAAGTCTATAGAATTTCTAATTAAGTAAGATGAACTATGACCAAAGTAGTGAAATTAACTCATATAATTATTATTAACCTTTCATTTTCTTCAACTAATTCACCGTAAAAAAAAAGGTTTTTCGGCTACTTTAAACTGTCTTAAAAATCGAGTGTCAAAGGTTGATTTGTAAAACAAAATAAAAAAATCGTTTAAAAACACATACGTTTTCTTATCAGTGTATGACCATCCATAAAACTATTTTATTTAGCAAAGCAAATGTCTATTCTACTTTCCTATTTATATTGATTGATTATATAATTGTATATACATTAAAGGATAAGCGTAATTTTGCTTAGATAACTATTGAATGATATAGTATGGGGAAAAAACAAGAGATACATACCCCTCCAAAAAATAATATATTACTAGTGAAAGAGAAAATTATTCTTATTTTTATGTTACTGATAATAGAAACCTGTATACTTAAAACTAATTTATTTTATTGCATTTTCTTTCTATTTTTCCATAAATGATCAATATTAATGATATATCTTATTATTTTGCTATTAACCCACTCAATTAGACAACAGTAGATATTTAAACGATGTTTCCAGCATCTACGTTAGAAATGTGATCAACTGATTGATTGAATTAAGATTAAAAGCTTATATATACACACAAACACACATACAGTCTTATATGCTCTTACAGACATTTTCTTGCTGTGAACATATATATATACACATTATAATGATAAAGGTTACTACATGCCAAGATGATTTCTACAATTCTTACAATGATAACGAATACCATTTAAATTCAAATCTTATCTTTAGACGATAGTAAAGTTCAACAATATTGAAATGCCTTTTTTAATGTTACCTATAAATCGATTTTACCATCAAAGATTTACACTCATTATTTGAAGTTAAAATTTACTCACGGTGCATAAATGGCTGACTATCGAGCATATTTTGAAACATCTTAGTTTAATAAAAACATCATTGTAATGTAGTTTATCTGAAATTTTATGCTTAGTATATCAATGTGTTATGCTCTTAGTTACGAATAAATATCTTACTCACGAATTATAAATATAAAATGTACTTGCCTAATGGATAATTGAGCATATAACGAATTGTGTATATGCGTTCTGAAGCCTTATTGAGTAATAGACATCGCTTTCTCTCTCTCTCTCTCTCTCTCTCTCTTGATAGTGAACATAACATGTAATAAGCACCATACGTGTAGACGGCAAAAAAAGAGTAAAGAGTGAGTATACATACAAATTGTTTAATGTTTGCGAATCTGTACTATGTATATACGCACTCGCTCGTATCACATTCGCATACACGAACAGGTTAAGGTATCACTGATCTCATATATAAATGTTAGTTTTCGCCCTATTTTGAACTATGTATGTTTCAACATAACAGAAACATAAAATTTACATTATGAATATGTCTGTACTATAATTCAATGCCGTCAATTTAAACTTGCTGAGATCTGCTAGAAAATAATTAAAAACTATAGTTCATGTCAAGATATTGTCAACGCCAGCAACAAATAATTAAGATATCTTTCTCTTTTCTATGAAATTCAATATCATTAGAAAACTCTGGTTTGCATGACCTGAATGCTTCTGAGTCAATTTGTATTGAAATACCCGTTCTATAAGAACAAAACTTTAAAAATAAATTTTTATTTAAGGTTCCAAAAAGTATATTTTCAAACTTTTTTTTTCAAAACTTTAAAACTTTCGAAAAAATATGACAACAAATGTAGCTATAACAAAAACATGCCACTTGAGAAACTTCTTACAAAATATGATATCCAAAAACTAACGTGAAGTTTTGAAAAGATTTTATATACAAAAATGCGCTAGAAAAATAAATATAAGCGATGAAAGACATAATTGATGGGTACAGTATTTATAGTGGATATTAAAATTAGGTTAGAATGAGCCATTTTTTATAAAACTGTACAAACTTTGGTGTTTTTATATTGTGTTCGTCGTTTCGCACTGCTTGTCCGTCGTCCACTACCAGCGGTGCTTACTCGTCTTGTTGTACTACGATTATTACTGGTGGAATTGCGTCCATTAACATTCATAGACGATGATGACAAATCTTCACTCAATAACCGATCTTCTTGACATTCCAAATGACCTGACAGTTTCTGTAGACGATGTAAAATGATACGATATGTACCATTCACACTATCACGATTTGTCATTACATTATTTTCCATTGTTCGAAAAACATTCGATGATATACCCATTTCTTCTAGTTGTGAGTGTGCTTCATATTCGAAGGCTGACTGATGTTGTAATTCACGTGGAATTGTTGTATTTTGTGCCGTTAAATTCATTCTCTTTTGATTTGTTGTCCAAACATTTGACAAATTAAGCGGAAATTCCTCGAATGCTTCTGGAAAAAATGCATCTTTTAGCCAAGGACACGTTCGAATTTGTGCAATTGTCCAACGTTGAGTAGGCTCCGGTTGCAGTAAACTACCTAAAAATAGATGAGCTATGTTACACTGTTCATCTCATTTATTATTACGCACGTATCAACGTTTTGCAAGGATCACTGACATGTGTGGGAACCATATAGTTTCCGTCTATTATAGATTTTTTCAATCTACCAACATTTTCTGCCCGAAATGGCATTAAACCTGTCACCATAAAATATAATAAAATCCCCATGGCCCAAATATCGACGTAGATACCAATGTAGTTTTCATCGCGAAATAACTCAGGAGCTGCATACGGTGGACTACCTAAACGAAGAAGAGTGTTCAGGAGCCTATTTCTCAAAAAAACTTAAGTTTTCCTTAAGTAAGATGTTTTTGCTAAGTGAGTTTCAAGAATGCATCTTAACTTAAGGGACCTCTTGACCACCCTTAAGTGTTCACTTAATTTTTTAAGTGAAAAATTATTTATAATTTGTAACTTCTTTCTCTTACATTTTTTCGTAGTCAGACCCACAATAATTACATAGGAAATAATTTTAGAAGGATTTTATTCAAAAAATTTCATAAATATAATCTAAATTTGTTAAAATATGAATGGCTTTTACTGCATGACTGCTGCTTAACTTAGGTTTTTTTTTTGAGAAACGTACTTAAGGGGAAACTTAAGTGTTCTTTATGTACTACTTAATTTTTTCCCTTGAAAATCCACTTAAGTAGAATACTTAAGCTTTTTTGAGAAACAGGCTCCAGCTTTCAAAACAAAACTAGCGTATTACTCACCACAAAATGTTGTTAATGTCTGGTTTTTCTCGGAAAATGTACTAAACCCAAAATCGCCCAATTTAACTAAACGTTCTCGAGCAAAAAAGACATTTTCTGCTTTGATATCACGATGGATAACACCTTTATTGTGCTAAAACAAAACGTGAAAATATTAGATTTTCATTCGAATACTTTCAAATTTACACACTAAATGTTCAACAGCAGCAACTATTTGCGAATACAAATGTTTTGATTCATCTTCTGTAAATTTTCCATTTGTCGTTATTTTTGTATAAACTTCACCACCAGATGCATATTCTATTACTATGTAGATATCACTCGGTGTTTCAATAACCTCATAGAGTCGAATAATGTTTGGATGATGTAAACGTTCCATGGAAGTTATTTCTCTTAATAATAAACGTTGTGTTCGTTCATCTAATTTTATTTTATTTAATATTTTAATAGCAACCTTTTCTTTTGCTAACAAATGTACACCAAGTTTTACACGAGAAAAATTTCCTAGTCCAATATCGCCTCTAATTAAATAAAAACCAATTCTTCTACCAGCTTTCTCTTCTGCTTTCCATCGCGTGTCATGCTGTGAATCATACAATAATTTTTCATAAGCTGATAAACGTTTTCTCTCATCTTTAGCGAATAAAATAGCTGTTGGTGCTAATGATGTGATCGAATTATTATTGTAAGTTTTTGATGTTGTTATTGGGGAACGACGATTAGTGGTGATAGTTTTAGTACTATCATTTTCACGAACATGGACTTTGTCTCGTTGACTACCATGATGATCATCATTTATCATAATTGAATTTGATGTATTTTGATGCCATCGAGGAATCTGTTCAGTATCAACCATATAATCAATAGAGAATAATTATGTACTTCTCACATGTCGAAATGTTCATAAACACATCTAGAATAAATTAAACAATCTAAGTTATAGTTTATCTTAATGATTAGAATTTCTTTTAGCTCTTGTTTTCTCTTATTAGACTAAATGTTTTCTTAAAGACAGTGTCCTGATGAAGACAAGAGGCAGATGTAGTGTAAGATATTTTATTTAATAATACAGTAAACATTTTGAAACAATGTTCTTTCTCTTTCCTTACAGATTTTTATCCTTAAAATATCTGAAAGAAAGCCTTGTGATTGGAAGAATAGAAGATCAAAATCAAAAAGTAGGTACCTATATCATCAGCACTACTTAAAGAAGTCATCATTATTAATATTTATTTCTAGTATTACTCAATTTCAATTTTCAATATTTGTATAAACATATTTATTTTATATAAAAATAAAATGAAATTTAGTATTCTGTAAGAAAGACAAAGTAAACTAGAGGAAATAAATTAGTAATGATGACTTTTCTTGTATATATATGAGAGAAACGTAACTTTCTGGTACATAAAAAAAAATGAAAGTGTTCATTAAAAAAATTTGAATGATACGTTTTGTTCCCCTGTCTTCGCCGAGTATCCTATAAAAATTTTCCAACTGCCAGACTCATACTGGCTGAGTTAGGAGGGAGACAATTTTCAGTTTTTGCCATAGACAAATTTTTGGCAGGATTTTGCATCGTTCGACAGAGAATGATTCGAGCAGTACAGTGGGACTGTGAGCAAATGCGTCAAGCCGAAAAACCACAGAAAACTTTTTTCATTCTTTAGTGTTAAAATCTAAAAGGTCCAAATTTCGTTATGTGATTCTACTTTCAGAATTATTTATTATTTTAGCAAAGACCATAGATTTTAGAGCTCCAAAAATTAGGTAGTCAAACTCGCCACAGTCTGAGGAGTCGACTGGTGTACGGTATTGATGATTTTCGTTTAGCTTTGACCAAAAATCTCACGAAAAAAGGTTGGTCTACATTTAGTTAAAAACAAAAGTCGGTCTACATTTTCCCCTATAATGTAAAAATAGTAAGGAACAAAATGAGGATTCGATCT